CCCCTCAGTCCCGACCCGCAGCCCCTACTGCTACGCCAGTTCAGAACTCCCCTTGCACACGTAGCCCCATCGCTGCCCCTCGGTCCCAACCACAGCTCCAGCCCCGGGCCCCGACTGAGACAACACACACAATCACACCAGCAACGAGCCCCGCAGGGGGCATTCCCGGGTTCCGGGGCTGGCTGCAGGGGCCGGGCTCTCGGGGCAGGTGAGCCCCGTAGGGGTCATTACCAGGTTCCGGGGCATCCGGCTGCAGTGCTGGGAAGTCATTGTCGAAGACAAATGTGCTCGTGTACTGCGGATTCACCTTTACCAAGGGAACAAGAGACAGCTTATAAGGACAGGGCCCCAGGGCTCATGAAAGAAGGCAGCCAGGAGCCCCCAAGTCCGCACCCCACCGGAGCTGTGAGTATCCTAACCCACAACCCTGGCACACCCACAGCTCACAGGCATGGAGCCCCTTCCTGCCATGGCCCACTGTCCATCAGAGCCATGCGCGGGGGGAGGGGGAAGAGAAGGGTGCCCAGAATGCACTGCAGCGAGGCACGCCCGTCCAGAGGGGATTGTTCCTGTTGCATCAGGGGACTCCCTCCTTTGCTCCCCATAGGCGCTTGGGGGCAGGGAGAGGGATCCCATGGAAGTCGGGGGGGTGGGGAGGGGGGACTGCACCCTTCCCTCTGCACACGGGACCTGTTTCCCCCGCCCCCTCAGTGAATCCAGGAGCAGAGGAGCTGAGTTCAGGACTGGGCCTGGCGCTTGGGCTTTCCTGGCTCCCCGGCGCCGCTCACTGCAGCCCAGAAGCCCCCAGAGATGAGCACGGAGGGTCCCAGGCCAGCAAGGGGCAACTAGAGAAAGAGGTGCCCGCTAGACCCTCTGACCAACCCCTGGGAGGCCTTGCCGGGCTCCACAGAGGGCATGGTGAGCTAAGACCACACACACGGCAATCTATGGGCCCCGCACCGCCCAAGCCCTGCTGGCCTTGACAAGGGGCTCCCAGCAGGGGCCTGAGGGCAGCACTCTCCGCAGGAATCCCTGGCTCTCGGGAGATGGTGGCGTGGGGAGGAGGAGAGATGACCAGCCACAAACCACTGGGAAATGCAGAGAGCCGGAAGGGATGGATAAACTGGGCACCAGCCTTCCCCAGATTGGTGCCGTCAGCCCATTTCCAGGGCTTTGGCTGAGCAACGGGACTTCCCTTGGGAAGGAAAGGCTCCACGTCCCAGCTCCATCTCCCCGAGCCACCTGGCCCGGGACGTGCCAGTCTCCACAGGTGGGGATTTACGCACATCGAGGAGCACACCGAGATTCCAACACGCTTGACGGGGATCCGTCAGCAGCCTAACGAGCTCTCTTCTGGGGGTCAGACACCGCAACGGCGACGCTACTGCACATCGACGCTCATGGCTCTCCCACTGAGAAGATGCCAGGTGTGGAGTCTGGTAGGTCAGGGCTGGGAGCCAGGACTCCTGGGTTCTATTCCCAGCCTTGGGAGCGGAGTGGGATTTAGGGGGTTACAGCTGGGCAGGGGCTAGGAGCCAGGACTCCTGGGTTCTATTCCAGGCTCTGCCACAGATTTTCTGCATGACCCAGGATGAGTCACTCCCACTCTCTACCCCCAGCTGTTAACCCGGCTAGCGATACCCTTCTCCCGCACACAGGCACAGCTCCATTCATTGGTGTTCACTTGCTGGGAGGTCCCCAAGGGCCCTGACCCTCCGGGCGCAGTACCTCCCCGTTGGCTCGTGCTG